GGAGGAGGGAGGAGGGAGGAAGAGGAGGAGAGAGGAGAGAGGAGGAGGAGGGAGGAGGGAGGAGGGAGGAGAGAGGAGAGAGGAGAGAGAGGACAGCATAGAGAGAGGTGAGAGGAGAGAGGACAGAGGAGAGAGAGGAGGGAGGAGAGAGAAGAAGAGAAAAGACAGAGGAGAGAGGAGGGAGGAGAGAGAGGGAGGAGGGAGGAGAGAGAAGAGAAAAGACAGAGGAGGGAGAGGAGGAGAGGAGAGAGGAGAGAGGGAGGGAGGAGAGAGGAGAGAGGAGAGCGGAGGGAGGAGAGAGGAAGCCGAGAGGAGAGAGGAGGGAAGAGGAGAGAGAGGAGAGGAGGAGAGGAGAGAGTGGAGGAGGAAGAGGAGAGAGGAAGGGATGAGAGGGAGGACGGGAGGAAGAGGAGGGAGGAGGGAGTGGAGAGAGGAGAGAGGAGGATGCGAGGAGAGAGGAGCGGGCAGGGCAGGAGGAAGAGGAGGGAGGGGGAGGACTGGAGAAGGAGGGAGGAGAGATGAGAGAGAAGAGAGGAGAAGAGAAAGAGGAGAGAGGAGAGAGGTAGGGGGAGAGAGAGAGAGGAGGGAGGAGCGAGAGGAAGCGAGCGGCTGGACGAGAGGAGAGCGAGAGGCTGTTAGAGAGGGAGAGAGAGAGAAAGAGGGGAGAGAGAGGACAGCATAGAGAGAGGAGAGAGGACCGAGGAGAGAGGAAGAGGAGGAGAGGATGAGAGGAGGGAGGAGAGAGGAGGGATGGGAGGAGAGAGGAGACGGAGGGAAGGAGAGAGGAGAGAGAGGACAGATAGAGAGAAGGAGAGAGGACAGAGGAGAGAGGACCGAGGATAGGAGAGAGAGGATGAGAGGAGGGAGGAGAGAGGCGGGAGAAGGGAGGACGAGAGGAAGAGAGGAGGAGGAGTGAGAGGACAGCATTAGAGAGAGGTGAGAGGAGAGAGGACAGAGGGAGAGAGGAGGGAGGAGGAGCGAAGAGAAAAAGACAGAGGAGAGAGAGGAGGGAGGATGAGGAGGACGAGAGGAGGAGGAGAGAGAAGAGAAAAGGACAGAGGAAGAGAGGAGGGAGGGAGAGAGGGAGGGGGACTGGGTTGCGAGGAGGAGAGAGGACAGAGTAGAGAGGAGGGAGGAGAGAGAGAGAAAAGACAGAGGAGAGAGGAGAGAGGAGAGAGGAGGGAGGGAGAGAAGAGAAAAGACAGAGGACGAGAGGATGTGAGGAGAGAGGAGGGAGTGAGGGAGGAGGGATGGCGAGAGGAGAGAGGAGAGGAGAGGACAGAATTGTCTGGAGTGGAATCTGGGGTACGAGACAAAAATTATTATACATCCACTATTATTGAAGCAAGAAGAGACGGGGGAGCAGAGTGAAGGAGATTCGAGGAAAGGTGCAAGAAGAGAGAGAGGAGACCAACCATGTTTAGTTGAGAATCTCTATCTTTCTGGTTTTCATGTTGAGTAGTTAAAGGCAACACGGACACAAAGCTATCAGCAGCAGAGAGGAAGGACAGAGGAGCAGAGGAAGAGTCTGGGCTCTCACTGAACATAGATTACTTTGTTTATTTGTTTTATGTGGAGATTATCAGTCATTCTTCTCTCTCTCTATTGGTCATTCTTCTCTCTCTCTATCGTCTCCTCTAAATAATTCAGATATATGGAAAATAATGTGTTAGTAAATACAAAATCTGCCTAACTTGCCTCTCCTGGCCGCACGTCGCATAGCTGTGGTTAAAACACGTATAGTTTCAGAATATTTGCGTCCACATGAATGAAACCAATCCGTCTGAGTGTTGTGGAACTGCACCAGGCCTGTAGGTGGCGCTGTGACGCACTGGAAACAAGCCCAGACTTCTGTGAAGGGATTTAAAGATGCAGTGAGCGATGCTGTTAGCTTAGCCGTAGCACCAACTGGAAACCACTCCCTCCCCTCACCTCTCGACCAAAACCAAACATTTTCTTTGTCACAACAGGGAGAGTTGAAGCAAACGTGAAATTGGCATTTTCTGTTCAGCCATTTAAGGTTTTAGAAAATAATCCGATAACTCCAGTGCACTCACGAGAAACAGGAAGAGGGTGCAGGGGGTAAAGGCTTCCCATTGGTTCGTTTGGGGTGAAAAAATCCCATTGGTTTATTTTTATCAATCCGCTCAAATATTTTGTATTATTTTTTGTAGACTATAGACATCTGGTCAATTCCTATCACTATTTGAAAAACATGATAACTTCATACTTTTAGGGTTTAGGACATTCGTTACCACAATATTTTTTTAAACAATGTGTCACTGGACTGCAATCTTGGGCTCAGTTTGTGAACAGACAAAATATGTTTCTGTTATAGGCTCATTCTCTCCTCTACTCTCACCTCTCCTCTCTCTCTCCTCTCATGTACTATACTTTCACCTCTTCTTTCTCTCCTCTCACTCAGTCTTGCCAACTTAGCGACTTTGTCGCTAGATTTAGCAACTTTTCAGACCTATAGCCGACTTTTGTTTCATAAAAAGCGACCTAAGCGTCAGATCTTGCAAAGCATTAAAATCCAGTAAATGTTGTTAATGTTGAATTTTTGTTTTTTGTGACATTTGTAGTTTTAACCATATTTAGGGTTGTTTTTTTTACGCACTTTTTGTATCTCCCACGATCGTTTTTCCTCTCTCCTACAGCGTCGTTACAGTTATTGCAATGTGCCAATTTTGGCAAATTAGGCGTATGGACGTCACTTAGCGTACGGCGTGGAATTGTTGGGACATCCTAATTAGAGTCACGGGCCGGTAGGAGGTGGGGGCTACTAGGCGTCGAACGTGCTGCGGGCGAAATAAGAGACTGCGAAGGAGATGCGCCGAGGCGCGACCGCGTGAGAGCCATCGCGCTCTCCTCCCCTCTTCTCTCTCCTCTCCTTTCTCCTCCCCTCTTCTCTCTCCTCTCCTTTCTCCTCTTCTCTCCTCCCCTCTTCTCTCTCCTCCCCTTTCTCCTCCCCTCTTCTCTCTCCTCTCCTTTCTCCTCTTCTCTCCCCTCCTCTCCTTTCTCCTCTCCTCTTCTCTCCCCTCCCCTCTTCTCTCTCCTCCCCTCTTCTCTCTCCTCTCCTCTTCTCTCCTCTCCTCTTCTCTCCTCTCCTCTTCTCTCCTCTCCTCTTGTCTCTCCTCCCCTCTTCTCTCTCCTCCCCTCTTCTCTCTCCTCCCATCTTCTCTCTCCTCCCCTCTTCTCTCTCCTCTCCTCTTCTCTCCTCTCCTCTTGTCTCCTCCTCCCCTCTTCTCTCCTCTCCTCTTGTCTCTCCTCCCCTCCTCTCTCTCCCTCTCCTTTCTCCTCCCCTCTTCTCTCTCCTCTCCTTTCTCCTCCCCTCTTCTCTCTCCTCTCCTTTCTCCTCCCCTCTTCTCTCTCCTCTCCTTTCTCCTCTTCTCTCCTCTCCTCTCCTCTCCTTTCTCCTCTCCTCTTCTCTCCTCCCCTCTTCTCTCTCCTCCCCTCTTCTCTCTCTCTCCTCTTCTCTCCTCTCCTCTCCTCTTCTCTCCTCTTCTCTCCTCCCCTCTCTCTCTCCTCTCCTCTTCTCTCCTCTTCTCTCCTCTCCTCTTCTTCTCTCCTCTTCTTTCTCGTCTCCTCTTCTCTCTCCTCTCGTCTCCTTTCTCCTCTCCTCTTCTCTCCTCCCCTCTTCTCTCTCCTCCCCTCTTCTCTCTCCTCTCCTCTTCTCTCCTCTCCTCTTCTCTCCTCTCCTCTTGTCTCTCCTCCCCTCTTCTCTCTCCTCCCATCTTCTCTCTCCCTCCCCTCTTCTCTCTCCTCTCCTCTTCTCTCCTCTTCTCTCCTCTTCTCTCCTCTCCTCTTCTCTCTCCTCCCCTCTTCTCTCTCCTCCCATCTTCTCTCTCCTCCCCTCTTCTCTCTCCTCTCCTCTTCTCTCCTCTCCTCTTGTCTCTCCTCCCCTCTTCTCTCCTCTCCTCTTGTCTCTCCTCCCCTCCTCTCTCTCACTCTCTCTCCTCTCCTTTCTCCTTTCTCCCCCCTCTTCTCTCTCCTCTCCTTTCTCCTCCCCTCTTCTCTCTCCTCTCCTCTTCTCTCCTCTCCTCTTCTCTCCTCTTCTCTCCTCTCCTCTTGTCTCTCCTCCCCTCTTCTCTCTCCTCCCATCTTCTCTCTCCTCCCCTCTTCTCTCTCCTCTCCTCTTCTCTCCTCTTCTCTCCTCTTCTCTCCTCTCCTCTTCTCTCTCCTCCCCTCTTCTCTCTCCTCCCATCTTCTCTCTCCTCCCCTCTTCTCTCTCCTCTCCTCTTCTCTCCTCTCCTCTTGTCTCTCCTCCCCTCTTCTCTCCTCTCCTCTTGTCTCTCCTCCCCTCTTCTCTCTCCTCTCCTTTCTCCTCCCCTCTCCTCTCCTTTCTCCTCCCCTCTTCTCTCTCCTCTCCTTTCTCCTCCCCTCTTCTCTCTCCTCTCCTTTCTCCTCTTCTCTCCTCTCCTCTCCTTTCTCCTCTCCTCTTCTCTCCTCCCCTCTTCTCTCTCCTCCCCTCTTCTCTCTCCTCTCCTCTTCTCTCCTCTCCTCTTCTCTCCTCTCCTCTTGTCTCTCCTCCCCTCTTCTCTCTCCTCCCCTCTTCTCTCTCCTCCCATCTTCTCTCTCCTCCCCTCTTCTCTCTCCTCTCCTCTTCTCTCCTCTCCTCTTGTCTCTCCTCCCCTCTTCTCTCCTCTCCTCTTGTCTCTCCTCCCCTCTTCTCTCTCCTCCCCTCTTCTCTCTCCTCTCCTCTCCTCTTCTCTCCTCTCCTCTTGTCTCTCCTCCCCTCTTCTCTCTCCTCCCCTCTTCTCTCTCCTCTCCTCTTCTCTCCTCTCCTCTTCTCTCTCCTCCCCTCTTCTCTCTCCTCTCCTCTTCTCTCATCTTCTCTCTCCTCCCCTCTTCTTTCTCCTCACCTCTCTTACACCCTCTCTCTCTTCTCCTCTACACACAGTATTTCACACACAGTCTGTTGTGTTTTTTCTCTACCTTTAACTGTATGTTTTCAAATCATATTGTTGTTAATCCTATCCTTGTCCCTGTGTGTTCAGTGAGTGACCTTCAGGCAGAGGGTAAACATGCCATCACCGCCCCCATGCTGCCTCCAGGGGCCGAGCTCCATCCTGAGGACACACTGCTGGGTGAGACACACACTGCTGGGTGGGACACACACTGCTGGATGAGACACACACTCCTGGGTGAGACACACACAATCCCTGACGCTGAGTGGTTCCTCTGGGGTCACAGAGATCACACAGGAAGTGAGAGCGGGTGTGGCCCTGCTGCTGTCACTCTGTGAATCACCGCTCGAGATATCATGAACATTACACACATCAGAATCACAATCACACAGTAGTACTTTAAATAGCAGTATGTAAGATTTTCATGTCAAGTCATCATTAAAGAGCCCTAATCTGTCAAAAGGCATTAATAAAACATGCTCTTTTCAAATGTAACTTCTTAAACTGAAAACAGTAGTTCAGATATATTAGAATTTCATAATTGGATTTACAGCCCCTAAATCTTGTTATTGTTTTCATTTCGATGTCCTGCCCTCTGTCTGTGATTCGGGCGCCAGAACTCACTGCCTCGTGCAAATCTCACTGGTAAAGTACCATGTGGCCTCAGAACTAAAAAAGGTCTTAGGAATAAAACAAGGATTTCTATCTTTGTGAAAAAGGTGTTGGTTATAGATTTGTTGTTGACAAAACTCTTGTCTATTCAGCTGTTATGGTCCCAGCTGGATTCGTCTGCATCAGTGTTGCCAACTTAGCGACTTTGTCGCTAGATTTATCGACTTTTCAGACCCTATAGCGACTTTATTTCAAAAAAGCGACTAGCGACAGATCTAGACAAAGCATTAAAATCATTAAATGTTGTTAATGTTGAAATTATTTTTGTACATTTGTAGTTCTAAACATATTTAGGGTGTTTTTTACTCACTTTTGTCTCTCCCACGACGTTATTCCTCTCTCCTACAGCGTCCGTTACAGTTATTTGCAAATTGCCAATTATGCAAATTAGGCGATGACGTCATTCAGCGACTTCTAGCGACTTTTGGGACAGCCAATAGCTACTTTCCTTACTGAGGAGTTGGCAACACTGGTCTGCATATCTGGCAACCTGAGTCAGGGAGAGTGGAAGAGGCTGCAGTACCAGATTTTTACATACTGCAAAGACTAAATAGACATTTAACAGTGCAGACCATCAATACTTGAGCAGAGGTGTGAGATTATGACGTGGCAGTAGTGTCAAGTGATGATTGTTATGGGCCGGGTCTCATGAGGACATTAGAATAAGGATATTAAATGTTAAATGAAATGAAATGCACAGTTTTAATGTTGTCTATTCTGATGTTGCACAGAGGAGAACGCTGAGAGGATCATGCTCGACCCAACGTCCAGAGAAAGTCTTAAATTTAAAGATCTGGTCAAGGTAATGCATGATAATAATGCATTTGTGTTATAAAGTGCTTTTTAGGACACTCAAATTCACATGGTATTATTCATTCACTCCGTACACGTTGGTGATAAACTACTACTGTAGCCACAGCTGCCCTGGTGCCATCAGACTACCACCATCATTGACATACCAGAATCATTCTCGTCAATGTAGGTTAAGTGTCTTGCCTAAGGAGAATGCTAACATAGACTGTAAACAGATGGACAATGCTAACATAGACTGTATACAGATGGCTAATGCTAACATAGACTGTATACAGATGGATAATGCTAACCTGCTAGCTCAACGCTGATCAGTTGTGAATGTGTTTGTGTTTTTTCAGGTGCTGATGGACTGGATCAACAGTGAGCTGGAGGAGGACCGCATCATCGTCAAAGACCTGGAGGAGGACTGCTACGATGGACAAGTGCTGCAGAAGCTCTTCGGTGAGAAATATGCGTCTAAAGCTGGGGTACCTAACTTCCAAACCGCATAATGGAACTATGTAATTAAATCGTACCATCAAAATTCAACCATCGTTACCTTTTTTATCTTCGCGACTGTGTGACTGTATCTGTGTCTTTAACTAGTTTATTCCTATGTTATTATTTGTATGTATCTTTTTCATATTTATTTTCCACGGTGAGTAGTTCTATCTTTTAACCTTGACTAAAATTTTCTTTTTTCTCGGTAAGCATCTTTCTGTAGCAGAGAATTTTCAAGGTTCTGGTCCTGAACTGATCCTGGTTCAGTTTGTTTTTCCACCAGAAAAAAAAAAAACGAGTGCTGTTTGTTACCATAGCAACGCACTGTTTACTGTCAACAGTTAGCCTTTGGTCTCCAGCATTAGCCTCACAACAAACTGCTATAATTCAAGTAATAGTAACCAATTTTAGATCTTAATAAAAGTGCGTATAGGTAAAAAATTAAATAATACATAATAAATGATTTTCTTTAATAAATCTGGTGGAAAAGTAAAATATGTGGGGTATTTACAAACAAAATCAAGGATGTCAAGAAATACACTTTTTACTTGTGATGTGAAGCGACCTTGAGTGTCTAGAAAGGAGATGAAGGAATAAAATGTATTTTTATTATCATCATTATTATTATTATATAAAAATGCGTTTTCAACGGTCTGCAACACTGCACTCTGGTGGCCACCTCTGGAACAGCTGTTTGTGGATGTTAAAGCTGCGGTACCTAACTTTCAAACCCCAACACACTATGCAATAACGTCTCAAAACAGTTTCTATCACTAGTTTTCACAATCATGTATTTTTGGCCTCTGTCTCATTTTTAGATGACAAGGCTTTATTTATTTATTTATTTATTTTTTATTGTGCTTATTGTATTTTGTTTGTGCCAAAATGTCAGTGATGAAGGAGTGCTGCAGTCCATCTTGATACTTTTTTCTTTAATATGTACAAGTTTAACAAAAAAAACCAGGCAGTATTTATTCTTCTTTTAGTTCCTTTTCATTTGTTTGACAGGACCACAATTTTTTGAAACGTAATTGTAATATGTAATATATTGTCATGTCCACAATTTAAAGGAACAATATGTAAAAATCTGGCCAAAAGTGGTACTGCAGTCACAGTCAATATTTTGTAGTCCTCTCCCACTCTCCCTGACTCAGGTTGCCAGATTCACACCAAATCCAGCAGCAAACACAGGGAATTATTTTATCAGTTGTTTGTCCGTCTCCATTCACATTGCCATGACAGCCGTGCTAATGCTGAATGAATGTTTTGATTAATGTTTTTTTATTATTATTATTTGGACATTTGAGATAAAAAACAAAAACAAAATAAAAGCAATGTAATTATACATAGTTTATGCAAAATAAATAAGCAATTGATGTCCAAAATAGGAGTGGGAAGAATGGATGTTGGAACGTATTTCTTCAGCGTATCAACATCAGGGTTTGCTCAAGAGGATATCACCTTTCAATTTTATTTATTCCCTATTTTTTAGACAAACATGTAAAAGTTCCACATCAAAAAGAGACTAACATTATTTTAATTGGGGTACATGTGGTCTTAAATGATTATTTTTACAATTAAGCTATAATCTGCAAAAAAACGTCTTGACCACTTATCTTTTACCGTTTTTAGAGCAATCTGTCATAGAATGTGATAACATGCAATAAATACAAAAAGACATAGCCTGGGATTGAACCCGGGTTCCTGCATCGTAAGCGCACAGTTTAGACCACTAGGCCACCGATTCACACGAACAGAGACACTGTGAAGAACGGACTCAAACTAGAAAATTCTGCATCACACGTGAACTTTTATCAGCTGTCTCAATTGTTCAAAGGCATCCCGATATAAATCCTCGTTTTAGTCTTTGTTTTGTCATTAATGATTTGAGAGTCATAACAAGACCTTTTTTAGTTCTGCGCCACATGTTATTTTACCTCTGAGATTAATGAGCCGCGCGGAGTTCTGGCAACCCGATCACGGACTTACATGACACTTCCTGATCGGCGAAACGGCGGAGGGTAGGACATCAAAATCAAAACAACAAACAACTTTTACGGGTCGTAAAACTAATTTTGATAATCAAATATCTCGGCTGAACTACTGTTATCAGTTAAAGATGAATTCGAAAAGAGTATGATTTAATAACGCCTTTTGAAATATTCGGGTCATTTAATGATGACTTGACATGCAAATATTACATATTGCTCCTTTAAATAAAATTAAATCAAACTAAATAAATGAATAAAACAAATAAGCACACAAACAAAAAAAGATAAACAAACAAACAAACAAACAAATAAATTCATAAATAAATAAACAAACAGACCCGGTTCTGGTCCAGTCCCTCACGGTCTTTGTGGTGGTACAGAGCAGCTCTCGGGCCGGAAGCTGAACGTGGCGGAGGTGACTCAGTCTGAGATCGGTCAGAAGCAGAAGCTGGAGACGGTTCTGGCGGCGGTGAACGAGAAGCTGCGTCCTCACGGCTGGACCATCGAGTGGAGCGTGGACTGTGAGTGACAACAACACACCTTAAAGCTGGGGTACCTGACTTTCAAGATGAGACAAAACATGGGACTACTGTGTGTGATACAATCCATCGTGTACTAATTCTACTAATACTACATGTATTTTTAAAGGTCTTTGCCTGGTCTTGGTCCTGGTCTTGGTCCTGCTCCCCTTGTTTGTATTTGGACGACTTTTCGTGGCAGCGTCCCGTCCCTAAACACTTCTTTTTGGTTGAAACACACTACTTCCTGTTGACACGCTCTGGATGAGGAGAAGCTGATGTGCCAAACCCAAAACACTCGTAACAGTAAATGTCAGAACTCTCAAAAAGTTCTGGCGTCACTCGCTCGCTGTATGTCAGGATTCTGGTCTTGGTCGTTCTGGCTTTGGCCTCGGTCTTGGTCTTGGCCTTGGTCTTGGTCTTGGTCTTGGCCTTGGTCTTGGTCTTGGCCTTGGTCTTGGCCCTGGTCTTGGTCTTGGCCCTGGTCTTGGTCTTGGTCTTGGCCTTGGTCTTGGTCTTGGTCTTGGTCCTGGTCCTGGTCTTGGTCTTGGTCTTGGTCTTGGTCTTGGTCTTGGTCTTGGTCTTGGTCTTGGTCTGGTCTTAATCTTGGTCATAGTCTTGGTTTAGCCTTTGTCTGGTCTTAATCGAGTCTTTGTCTCAATTTTGGTCAAATTGTAGTTTCACATGCATGTATTGTTTGAGGTCTTGGGCTTGTCTTGGTTCTGGTCTTGGTCCTGTTCTTGGTTCTGGTCTTGGTCTTAGTATTGGCCCTAGTTTTGGTTGTTGTCTTGTTTTGGTCCTGGTCTTAGTCTTTTCTTGGTTTTGGTTCTGGTTCTGGTCGTTGTCTTATCTTGGTTCTGGTCTTGGTTCTGGTCTTGGTCTGGTCTTGGTCTCAGTGGTGTTCATGGTGGTGCATGTACAGTGCTTATTCTAACTACTTTAAATAACTGATGTGGTCTGATTTGTTGGCGACACTTTACTTTTAAACAAGTCTTTCTGTTGGACAAACGTTCTTGCGTCCTTTGTTAACGATAAAAACGTTATATTCTTAAGTTTAGGTCCCTCAGCTTTAACTTTTCCGTCGTTTTTTTCTCTCACAGCGATCCATTCAAAGAACATCGTGTCCATCGTGTATCTGCTCGTCTCCATGGCGATGCACTACCAGGCTCCCATCAGACTTCCTGAACACGTCTCTGTACAAGTGGTGGTGGTCAAGGTAAGAGAGACCTGTTTCTACTCTACTCTACTCTGCTCTACTTTAGTCTACTCTACTCTACTCTACTCTACTTTAGTCTACTCTACTCTACTCTACTCTACTCTACTTTAGTCTACTCTACTCTACTCTACTCTACTTTAGTCTACTCTGCTCTACTTTAGTCTACTCTACTCTACTCTACTCTACTCTACTCTACTTTAGTCTACTCTACTTTAGTCTACTCTACTCTACTCTACTTTACTTTAGTCTACTCTACTCTACTCTACTCTACTCTACTCTACTTTAGTCTACTCTACTTTAGTCTACTCTACTCTACTCTACTTTAGTCTACTCTACTCTACTCTACTCTACTTTAGTCTACTCTACTTTAGTCTACTCTACTCTACTCTACTTTAGTCTACTCTACTCTACTCTACTTTAGTCTACTCTACTTTAGTCTACTCTACTCTACTCTACTTTAGTCTACTCTACTTTAGTCTACTCTACTCTGCTCTACTTTAGTCTACTCTACTCTACTCTACTCTACTCTACTCTACTTTAGTCTACTCTACTTTAGTCTACTCTACTCTACTCTACTTTAGTCTACTCTACTCTACTCTACTCTACTTTAGTCTACTCTACTCTACTCTACTCTACTCTACTCTACTAATTCTCCCCCGATTGGGAGCGTTTGCACTGGCCCTATTTAACCAGCACCAGGTCCTTTTAGTCCCTCTTGGCCCTGGTTCTATCCAGGCCGAGCTGGTACTAAAGTGTTCTAACTGACAGAGATTGGTGAGAGGAGGTCCGGATCCCCAAAGAGAAAATCAAATCCGATTCAGATTCATTTATTTGCCATTTGCAGTAAAACCACATTGGAATACATCCGCATCCGTCACCAGTGTGCACCAGAGAAGTACATAAACAAAACCCGGATTTGACTCACGGGCCGCCAGTTGATGATCAGTACTCTACTCTACTTTAGTCTACTCTACTCTACTCTACTTTAGTCTACTCTGCTCTGCTCTGCTCTGCTCTGCTCTACTCTACTCTACTCTACTCTACTCTACTCTACTCTACTCTACTCTACTCTACTCTACTCTACTCTAGTCTACTCTACTTTAGGCTACTCAACTCAACTCTACTCTACTTTAGTCTACTCTACTCTACTCTACTTTAGTCTAGTCTACTTTAGTCTACTCTACTCTACTCTTCTCTAGTCTACTTTAGTCTACTCTACTCTACTCTACTTTAGTCTAGTCTACTTTAGTCTACTCTACTCTACTCTACTTTAGTCTATTCTACTCTACTCTACTCTACTCTAGTCTACTTTAGTCTACTCTACTCTACTCTAGTCTACTTTAGTCTACTCTACTCTACTCTACTCTAGTCTACTTTAGTCTACTCTACTCTACTCTACTCTAGTCTACTTTAGTCTACTCTACTCTACTTTAGTCTACTCTACTCTACTCTACTCTACTCTAGTCTACTTTAGTCTACTCTACTCTACTCTACTCTAGTCTACTTTAGTCTACTCTACTCTACTCTAGTCTACTTTAGTCTACTCTACTCTACTCTACTCTACTTTAGTCTACTCTACTCTACTCTACTACTCTACATTTTTGAACAGAGCATCCAGCCCAGTGCTTGATAATATTGTAAATATTTGTATATATTTGTATTTTTTCTTTTTCCCAGAAACAAGATGGCGTCCTGCACACGTCCGTAGTGACCAAAGAGTTGACCAGCACCACAGAGTACGACACAGTTATTATAAAAGTCTCTTGTTTCTCTCTTTAACCGTGTGTTTGTTATTCTCAGGATGATGTTGGGGAGGTTTGGTGAGTACGGTCTGAAAACCTGATCCAAGTCCTTTATAAAAAAATACTTGATTCTGATTTCCCTCTTGTCGTTTCGTTTGGGTTATTTCCGAACGCAGAGAGAGACGCCTTTGACACTTTGTTGGATCACGCTCCCGACAAACTGAACGTGGTCAAAACGGTAAAATTTGTTTTGTGAATTTTTTATATTTATCAAGGAAGTTTGGGAATCTACCGACGATAGAAGAGCATCATAGGACAGTTAGATTTAGTTATTTATGAGAAGAAAACTTTTGTGGCCTGTGTGATTAGTTCAGAAAGAAAGACTTTGGAGAGATCAGAGAGAGAGAGAGCAGAGAGAGACCAGAAAGAGAGACTAGAGAGAGAGCAGAGAGAGACCAGGAAGAGAGACTAGAGAGAGAGCAGAGAGAGACCAGAAAGAGAGACTAGAGAGAGAGCAGAGAGAGACCAGGAAGAGAGACTATAGAGAGAGAAGAGAGAGAGACTAGAGAGAGAGAGCAGAGAGACAGACCAGAAAGAGAGACTAGAGAGAGAGCAGAGAGAGACCAGGAAGCGAGACCAGAGAGAGAGACTAGAGAGAGAGAGAGCAGAGAGATAGACCAGAAAGAGAGACTAGAGAGAGAGAGAGAGCAGAGAGAGAGAGCAGAGAGACAGACCAGAAAGAGAGACTAGAGAGAGAGCGCAGAGAGACGGACCAGAAAGAGAGACTAGAGAGAGAGAGAGCAGAGAGACAGACCAGAAAGAGAGACTTTGGAGAGATCGGAGAGATCAGAGAGAGCAGAGAGAGACCAGAAAGAGAGACTAGAGATACTTCAAGCTCTACCCCAGCAGTTTTGAGTAGGAAGTCAATAGAGAGAGAGACTAGAGAGAGAGAGCAGAGAGAGAGAGAGAGCAGAGAGATAGACCAGAAAGAGAGACTAGAGAGAGAGCAGAGAGACAGACCAGAAAGAGAGACTAGAGAGAGAGAGAGAGCAGAGAGACAGACCAGAAAGAGAGACTAGAGAGAGAGCAGAGAGACAGACCAGAAAGAGAGACTAGAGAGAGAGAGAGAGAGAGCAGAGACAATTCAGGCTCCACCCCAGCAGTTTTGAGCAGGAAGTCAATAAACCTGTTGCTAGACTATATTTTTCATTTATTTTTTACACACTATAAGCCATAAGGATAAAAAGGCTTATGTCACTCTGCATACCATGTTTAAGCTTTCACAAATAAATAAGAAAAGGCAAACCTTAAATGGTTCGTCAGTGGGGAACTTTCAAGACGGTAAGTAGCTTAAAGTCACTATCCCTTGTCCTCATAATTGTCCTGTGTCTGTCTCCAAATCATCCCACACACAAGACATTAGTCATCTTCATTTGTGTGTTATTTTGTGTGTAATATATTGTTTATTGTGTCGTCAGTCTCTCATAACCTTCGTGAACAAACATTTGAACAAACTGAACCTGGAGGTGACGGAGCTGGAGACTCAGGTACGTGCGCTGTCTGTCATAGAGAGTTTATTGAATACAAAATATATAAACACTCTGAGATCACAGAGAGTAGTGAAATTATGATTTTTAGAGCCCAAAATGGTTCAATGTACAGTAAGTCAATAGGAGCCAGAGGAGTTGGAGGAAAACCCCCCCTTGAGCACTTCCCTATTTGGGTTCATGGACCTAGCGGGTTAGCATTGTCCACCTGTATACAGTCTATGTTAGCATTGTCCATCTATATACAGTCTATGTTAGCATTGTCCACCTGTATACAGTCTATGTTAGCATTGTCCATCTGTATACAGTCTGTGTTAGCATTGTCCATCTGTATACAGTCTGTGTTAGCATTGTCCATCTGTATACAGTCTGTGTTAGCATTGTCCACCTGTATACAGTCTATGTTAGCATTGTCCATCTGTATACAGTCTATGTTAGCATTGTCCATCTGTATACAGTCTATGTTAGCATTGTCCATCTGTGTTCAGTCTATGTTAGCATTGTCTGGGGTCTTAGCTTCACTTAAGGCCTATCGCTGGTTTGAATAATTAAACAGACACCGATATGATCTGCTTCGGCCGCAGAAATCTCATGGCTCCTTTTCGTCTCTATCGTAAACGTGTGTAATTATCCAGTTTGCAGATGGAGTCTACCTGATCTTACTGATGGGGCTACTGGAAGACTACTTTGTCCCTTTGTACAACTTCTTCCTGACGCCCGAGAGCTTTGAGCAGAAGGTAAATGACATGTAATCTGGACATGTCCTTAAAGATTCATTATATTCCCGCTTTGTGATCTTGTCCTTTTGCCGATGAAATATTGCTGTAATTTTACGCATGGGTCAGGTGAAAAAGGTTCTAAAGCCTCACACAAGTCACACTACTATAGGGACAGTACTTTGCATAATGACAGCGTAACGAGCCGTGGAGCTGTGTTCGGGGGGGTGAAGCTCTCACTGTCGGAGTTTTGTTTGTTGGCCGTGATAATCTGTCCTTTATAAAGTTGTCCTTGGGAAAAATATGTTTAAACGTGTCTATATCTCCACATGGATGAGAAATGCGATTATCTCTGGTTTCTCTCTGTTCCCTCTCTCTGGTCTCTCTCTGGTCTCTCTCTGGTCTCTCTCTGGTCTCTCTCTGGTCTCTCTCTGGCCTCTCTCTGGTCTCTCTCTGGTCTCTCTCTGGTCTCTCTCTGGTCTCTCTCTGGCCTCTCTCTGGTCTCTTTGTTCTCTCTCTGGTCTCTCTCTGTTCTCTCTCTGGTCTCTCTCTGGTCTCTCTCTGGCCTCTCTCTGGTCTCTTTGTTCTCTCTCTGGTCTCTCTCTGTTCTCTCTCTGTCTCTCTCTGTTCTCTCTCTGGTCTCTCTCTGGTCTCTCTGTTCTCTCTCTGGTCTCTCTCTGGTCTCTCTCTGGTCTCTCTGTTCTCTCTCTGGTCTCTCTGGTCTCTCTCTGGTCTCTCTGTTCTCTCTCTGGTCTCTCTCTGGTCTCTCTGTTCTCTCTCTCTGGTCTCTCTCTGGTCTCTCTCTGGTCTCTCTGTTCTCTCTCTGGTCTCTCTCTGGTCTCTCTCTGGTCTCTCTCTGGTCTCTCTGTTCTCTCTCTGGTCTCTCTGGTCTCTCTCTGGTCTCTCTGTTCTCTCTCTGGTCTCTCTCTGGTCTCTCTGTTCTCTCTCTCTGGTCTCTCTCTGGTCTCTCTCTGGTCTCTCTGTTCTCTCTCTGGTCTCTCTCTGGTCTCTCTCTGGTCTCTCTCTGTTCTCTCTCTCTGGTCTCTCTCTCTCTGGTCTCTCTCTGGTCTCTCTCTGGTCTCTCTCTGGTCTCTCACTGGTCTCTCTCTGTTCTCTCTCTGGTCTCTCTCTGGTCTCTCTCTCTCTCTCTGGTCTCTCTCTGGCCTCTCTCTGGCCTCTCTCACTGGTCTCTCTCTGTTCTCTCTCTGGTCTCTCTCTCTCTCTGGTCTCTCTCTGTTCTCTCTCTGGTCTCCCTCTGGTCTCTCTGTTCTCTCTCTGGTCTCTCTCTGGTCTCTCTCTGGTCTCTCTCTGTTCTCTCTCTGGTCTCTCTCTCTCTCTGGTCTCTCTCTGTTCTCTCTCTGGTCTCCCTCTGGTCTCTCTGTTCTCTCTCTCTGGACTCTCTCTGGTCTCTCTCTCTCTGGTCTCTCTCTGTTCTCTCTCTGGTCTCTCTCTGGACTCTCTCTGGTCTCTCTCTGTCAATAATAATAATAATAATGCATTGGTTTTATATAGCGCTTTTCTGGACACTCAAAGACGCTTCACATGTGTCATTATTCATTCACTCCATACACGGTGGTGATAAACTACTACTGTAGCCACAGCTGCCCTGGGGCACACTGACAGAAGCGAGGCAACCAGTGTGTGCCATCTGCCCCTCTGACCACCACCAACCATTCACACACACCACACTCATTCTAGGCAATGGGGGTGAAGTGTCTTGCCTAAGGACACAACGGCACACTACTATAGGGACAGTACTTTGCATAATGACAGCGTAACGAGCCGTGGAGCTGTGTTCGGGGGGGTGAAGCTCTCACTGTCGGAGTTTTGTTTGTTGGCCGTGATAATCTGTCCTTTATAAAGTTGTCCTTGGGAAAAATATGTTTAAACGTGTCTATATCTCCACATGGATGAGAAATGCGATTATCTCTGGTTTCTCTCTGTTCCCTCTCTCTGGTCTCTCTCTGGTCTCTCTCTGGTCTCTCTCTGGTCTCTCTCTGGCCTCTCTCTGGCCTCTCTCTGGTCTCTTTGTTCTCTCTCTGGTCTCTCTCTGTTCTCTCTCTGGTCTCTCTCTGGTCTCTCTCTGGCCTCTCTCTGGTCTCTTTGTTCTCTCTCTGGTCTCTCTCTGGTCTCTCTCTGTTCTCTCTCTGGTCTCTCTCTGGTCTCTCTCTGGTCTCTCTCTGGTCTCTCTCTGGTCTCTCTGTTCTCTCTCTGGTCTCTCTCTGGTCTCTCTCTGGTCTCTCTGTTCTCTCTCTGGTCTCTCTGGTCTCTCTCTGGTCTCTCTGTTCTCTCTCTGGTCTCTCTCTGGTCTCTCTGTTCTCTCTCTCTGGTCTCTCTCTGGTCTCTCTCTGTTCTCTCTCTGGTCTCTCTCTGGTCTCTCTGTTCTCTCTCTCGTCTCTCTCTGGTCTCTCTCTCTCTGGTCTCTCTCTCTGTTCTCTCTCTCTGGTCTCTCTCTCTCTGGTCTCTCTCTGTTCTCTCTCTGGTCTCTCTCTGGTCTCTCACTGGTCTCTCTCTGTTCTCTCTCTGGTCTCTCTCTGGTCTCTCTCTCTCTCTGGTCTCTCTCTGGCCTCTCTCTGGCCTCTCTCACTGGTCTCTCTCTGGCCTCTCTCTGGCCTCTCTCTCTGGTCTCTCTCTGTTCTCTCTCTGGTCTCTCTCTCTCTCTGGTCTCTCTCTGTTCTCTCTCTGGTCTCTCTCTGTTCTCTCTCTGGTCTCCCTCTGGTCTCTCTGTTCTCTCTCTCTGGACTCTCTCTGGTCTCTCTCTCTCTGGTCTCTCTCTGTTCTCTCTCTGGTCTCTCTCTGGACTCTCTCTGGTCTCTCTCTGTCAATAATAATAATAATAATGCATTGGTTTTATACAGCGCTTTTCTGGACACTCAAAGACGCTTCACATGTGTCATTATTCATTCACTCCATACACGGTGGTGATAAACTACTACTGTAGCCACAGCTGCCCTGGGGCACACTGACAGAAGCGAGGCAACCAGTGTGTGCCATCTGCCCCTCTGACCACCACCAACCATTCACACACACCACACTCATTCTAGGCAATGGGGGTGAAGTGTCTTGCCTAAGGACACAACGGCAGTTTGGCACTTTACAGCCGCAGCCGCCCCACTGTGGCTGTTCTCTCTCTCTGGTCTCTCTCTCTGGTTTCTCTCTCTGGTCTCTCTTTGGTCTCTATCTCTGGTTTCTCTCTCTGGTCTCTCTTTGGTCTCTATCTCTGGTTTCTCTCTCTGGTCTCTCTTTGGTCTCTATCTCTGGTTTCTCTCTCTGGTCTCTCTTTGGTCTCTATCTCTGGTTTCTCTCTCTGGTCTTTCTCTCTGGTCTCTCTTTGGTCTATATCTCTGGTTTCTCTCTCTGGTCTCTCTTTGGTCTATATCTCTGGTTTCTCTCTCTGGTCTCTCTTTGGTCTCTATCTCTGGTTTCTCTCTCTGGTTTCTCTCTCTGGTCTCTCTTTGGTCTATATCTCTGGTTTCTCTCTCTGGTCTCTCTTTGGTCTCTATCTCTGGTTTCTCTCTCTGGTCTTTCTCTCTGGTCTCTCTTTGGTCTGTATCTCTGGTTTCTCTCTCTGGTCTCTCTTTGGTCTCTATCTCTGGTTTCTCTCTCTGGTCTCTCTTTGGTCTATATCTCTGGTTTCTCTCTCTGGTCTCTCTTTGGTCTCTATCTCTGGTTTCTCTCTCTGGTCTCTCTTTGGTCTCTATCTCTGGTTTCTCTCTCTGGTCTTTCTCTCTGGTCTCTCTTTGGTCTCTATCTCTGGTTTCTCTCTCTGGTCTTTCTCTCTGGTCTCTCTTTGGTCTCTATCTCTGGTTTCTCTCTCTGGTCTTTCTCTCTGGTCTCTCTTTGGTCTATATCTCTGGTTTCTCTCTCTGGTCTCTCTTTGGTCTATATCTCTGGTTTCTCTCTCTGTTCCTTCTCTCTGCTCTCTCCCTCTCTCTCTCTCTCTTTGGTCTCTATCTCTGGTTTCTCTCTCTGGTCTCTCTCTCTGGTCTCTCTCTGGCCTCTCTCTGGCCTCTCTCACTGGTCTCTCTCTGTTCTCTCTCTGGTCTCTCTCTCTCTCTGGTCTCTCTCTGTTCTCTCTCTGGTCTCCCTCTGGTCTCTCTGTTCTCTCTCTCTGGACTCTCTCTGGTCTCTCTCTCTCTGGTCTCTCTCTGGTCTCTCTCTGGTCTCTCTCTGTTCTCTCTCTGGTCTCTCTCTGGCCTCTCTCTCTGGTCTCTCTCTGGCCTCTCTCTGGCCTCTCTCTCTGGTCTCTCTCTGTTCTCTCTCTGGTCTCTCTCTGGCCTCTCTCTCTGGTCTCTCTCTGGCCTCTCTCTGGCCTCTCTCTCTGGTCTCTCTCTGTTCTCTCTCTGTTCTCTCTCTGGTCTCTCTCTGTTCTCTCTCTGGTCTCTCTCTCTCTCTGGTCTCTCTCTGTTCTCTCTCTGGTCTCCCTCTGGTCTCTCTGTTCTCTCTCTCTGGACTCTCTCTGGTCTCTCTCTCTCTGGTCTCTCTCTGTTCTCTCTCTGGTCTCTCTCTGGACTCTCTCTGGTCTCTCTCTGTCAATAATAATAATAATAATGCATTGGTTTTTACAGCGCTTTTCTGGACACTCAAAGACGCTTCACATGTGTCATTATTCATTCACTCCATACACGGTGGTGATAAACTACTACTGTAGCCACAGCTGCCCTGGGGCACACTGACAGAAGCGAGGCAACCAGTGTGTGCCATCTGCCCCTCTGACCACCACCAACCATTCACACACACCACACTCATTCTAGGCAATGGGGGTGAAGTGTCTTGCCTAAGGACACAACGGCAGTTTGGCACTTTACAGCCGCAGCCGCCCCACTGTAGCTGTTCTCTCTCTCTGGTCTCTCTCTCTGGTTTCTCTCTCTGGTTTCTCTTTGGTCTCTCTCTCTGGTCTCTCTCTCTGGTTTCTCTTTGGTCTCTATCTCTGGTTTCTCTCTCTGGTTTCTCTTTGGTCTCTATCTCTGGTTTCTCTCTCTGGTCTCTCTTTGGTCTCTATCTCTGGTTTCTCTCTCTGGTCTCTCTTTGGTCTATATCTCTGGTTTCTCTCTCTGGTCTCTCCTTGGTCTCTATCTCTGGTTTCTCTCTCTGGTCTCTCTTTGGTCTCTATCTCTGGTTTCTCTCTCTGGTCTCTCTTTGGTCTCTATCTCTGGTTTCTCTCTCTGGTCTCTCTTTGGTCTCTATCTCTGGTTTCTCTCTCTGGTCTCTCTCTGGTCTCTCTCTGGTCTCTCTGTTCTCTCTCTCGTCTCTCTCTGGTCTCTCTCTCTCTGGTCTCTCTCTGTTCTCTCTCTCTGGTCTCTCTCTCTCTGGTCTCTCTCTGTTCTCTCTCTGGTCTCTCTCTGGTCTCTCACTGGTCTCTCTCTGTTCTCTCTCTGGTCTCTCTCTGGTCTCTCTCTCTCTGGTCTCTCTCTGGCCTCTCTCTGGCCTCTCTCACTGGTCTCTCTCTGGCCTCTCTCTGGCCTCTCTCTCTGGTCTCTCTCTGTTCTCTCTCTGGTCTCTCTCTCTCTCTGGTCTCTCTCTGTTCTCTCTCTGGTCTCTCTCTGTTCTCTCTCTGGTCTCCCTCTGGTCTCTCTGTTCTCTCTCTCTGGACTCTCTCTGGTCTCTCTCTCTCTGGTCTCTCTCTGTTCTCTCTCTGGTCTCTCTCTGGACTCTCTCTGGTCTCTCTCTGTCAATAATAATAATAATAATGCATTGGTTTTATACAGCGCTTTTCTGGACACTCAAAGACGCTTCACATGTGTCATTATTCATTCACTCCATACACGGTGGTGATAAACTACTACTGTAGCCACAGCTGCCCTGGGGCACACTGACAGAAGCGAGGCAACCAGTGTGTGCCATCTGCCCCTCTGACCACCACCAACCATTCACACACACCACACTCATTCTAGGCAATGGGGGTGAAGTGTCTTGCCTAAGGACACAACGGCAGTTTGGCACTTTACAGCCGCAGCCGCCCCACTGTGGCTGTTCTCTCTCTCTGGTCTCTCTCTCTGGTTTCTCTCTCTGGTCTCTCTTTGGTCTCTATCTCTGGTTTCTCTCTCTGGTCTCTCTTTGGTCTCTATCTCTGGTTTCTCTCTCTGGTCTCTCTTTGGTCTCTATCTCTGGTTTCTCTCTCTGGTCTCTCTTTGGTCTCTATCTCTGGTTTCTCTCTCTGGTCTTTCTCTCTGGTCTCTCTTTGGTCTATATCTCTGGTTTCTCTCTCTGGTCTCTCTTTGGTCTATATCTCTGGTTTCTCTCTCTGGTCTCTCTTTGGTCTCTATCTCTGGTTTCTCTCTCTGGTTTCTCTCTCTGGTCTCTCTTTGGTCTATATCTCTGGTTTCTCTCTCTGGTCTCTCTTTGGTCTCTATCTCTGGTTTCTCTCTCTGGTCTTTCTCTCTGGTCTCTCTTTGGTCTGTATCTCTGGTTTCTCTCTCTGGTCTCTCTTTGGTCTCTATCTCTGGTTTTCTCTCTCTGGTCTCTCTTTGGTCTATATCTCTGGTTTCTCTCTCTGGTCTCTCTTTGGTCTCTATCTCTGGTTTCTCTCTCTGGTCTCTCTTTGGTCTCTATCTCTGGTTTCTCTCTCTGGTCTTTCTCTCTGGTCTCTCTTTGGTCTCTATCTCTGGTTTCTCTCTCTGGTCTTTCTCTCTGGTCTCTCTTTGGTCTCTATCTCTGGTTTCTCTCTCTGGTCTTTCTCTCTGGTCTCTCTTTGGTCTATATCTCTGGTTTCTCTCTCTGGTCTCTCTTTGGTCTATATCTCTGGTTTCTCTCTCTGTTCCTTCTCTCTGCTCTCTCCCTCTCTCTCTCTCTCTTTGGTCTCTATCTCTGGTTTCTCTCTCTGGTCTCTCTCTCTGGTCTCTCTCTGGCCTCTCTCTGGCCTCTCTCACTGGTCTCTCTCTGTTCTCTCTCTGGTCTCTCTCTCTCTCTGGTCTCTCTCTGTTCTCTCTCTGGTCTCCCTCTGGTCTCTCTGTTCTCTCTCTCTGGACTCTCTCTGGTCTCTCTCTCTCTGGTCTCTCTCTGGTCTCTCTCTGGTCTCTCTCTGTTCTCTCTCTGGTCTCTCTCTGGCCTCTCTCTCTGGTCTCTCTCTGGCCTCTCTCTGGCCTCTCTCTCTGGTCTCTCTCTGTTCTCTCTCTGGTCTCTCTCTGGCCTCTCTCTCTGGTCTCTCTCTGGCCTCTCTCTGGCCTCTCTCTCTGGTCTCTCTCTGTTCTCTCTCTGGTCTCTCTCTCTCTCTCTGGTCTCTCTCTGTTCTCTCTCTGGTCTCCCTCTGGTCTCTCTGTTCTCTCTCTCTGGACTCTCTCTGGTCTCTCTCTCTCTGGTCTCTCTCTGTTCTCTCTCTGGTCTCTCTCTGGACTCTCTCTGGTCTCTCTCTGTCAATAATAATAATAATAATGCATTGGTTTTATACAGCGCTTTTCTGGACACTCAAAGACGCTTCACATGTGTCATTATTCATTCACTCCATACACGGTGGTGATAAACTACTACTGTAGCCACAGCTGCCCTGGGGCACACTGACAGAAGCGAGGCAACCAGTGTGTGCCATCTGCCCCTCTGACCACCACCAACCATTCACACACACCACACTCATTCTAGGCAATGGGGGTGAAGTGTCTTGCCTAAGGACACAACGGCAGTTTGGCACTTTACAGCCGCAGCCGCCCCACTGTAGCTGTTCTCTCTCTCTGGTCTCTCTCTCTGGTTTCTCTCTCTGGTTTCTCTTTGGTCTCTCTCTCTGGTCTCTCTCTCTGGTATCTCTTTGGTCTCTATCTCTGGTTTCTCTCTCTGGTTTCTCTTTGGTCTCTATCTCTGGTTTCTCTCTCTGGTCTCTCTTTGGTCTCTATCTCTGGTTTCTCTCTCTGGTCTCTCTTTGGTCTATATCTCTGGTTTCTCTCTCTGGTCTCTCCTTGGTCTCTATCTCTGGTTTCTCTCTCTGGTCTCTCTTTGGTCTCTATCTCTGGTTTCTCTCTCTGGTCTCTCTTTGGTCTCTATCTCTGGTTTCTCTCTCTGGTCTCTCTTTGGTCTCTATCTCTGGTTTCTCTCTCTGGTCTCTCTTTGGTCTCTATCTCTGGTTTCTCTCTCTGTTCCTTCTCTCTGCTCTCTCCCTCTCTCTCTCTCTTTGGTCTCTATCTCTGGTTTCTCTCTCTGGTCTCTCTCTCTGGTTTCTCTCTCTGGTCTTTCTCTCTGGTCTCTCTTTGGTCTCTATCTCTGGTTTCTCTCTCTGGTCTCTCTTTGGTCTCTATCTCTGGTTTCTCTCTCTGTTCCTTCTCTCTGCTCTCTCCCTCTCTCTCTCTCTTTGGTCTCTATCTCTGGTTTCTCTCTCTGTTCCTTCTCTCTGCTCTCTCCCTCTCTCTCTCTCTTTGGTCTCTCAATTCAATTTAACGTACTTGTGTGTAGCCCTAAATCCCAACAGCAGTCGTCTCTGAGTCCTTTACAGAGTTGTAGATCCGTAAACTACAGATCAGAGAATCAAACCGTTCAAAAACAGGAAATGCAATAATAAAAACACACAGGAGCACTTTGTCTACTGTGTTTGTTGGTCTGAAACTGAAATCCATATTTTCTTTATTTTCAGGTTCACAACGTTGCGTTTTCGTTTGAGCTCATGCAGGACGGCGGCCTGAAGAAGCCCAAAGCCCGACCAGAAGGTAACCACACCATCTAAACCAGTGTTTCTCAACCAGTGGGTTGTGGTACATTAGTGCGTTCCTTGAGATGTTGTCTGGTGTGCCTTGGGAAAATTCCAATATCACATACCATATTTTTTTATTGTAAGTCGCAGTTTTTGTCATAGTTTGACCGAGGATGCGACTTCTTCTCTGGAGCGACTTATGTGTGTAAACTTGTAGAATGTTCTTTATGCTAAACGTATTTTAACAACTCTTACCGTAATAATTTACAAACCAGGCTCAATCTCAGTTCTCTGTCTAAGCCTCATATAACGTCCACTTGTTCAGCCTGTTGTTCTCTATTCTATGTTATTTTAAAGATGAAATGTCTGTTCTTGGTGTTGGATTTTATCAACAACATTTCCCCCAAAAATTCAAATTATACTTTAGTGCGACATATATGTTTTATTCCTTCTTTATTCTGCATTGTCGGCTGGTGCAATTTATATTCCAGAGCGACTTATTATCAGGAAAATATAGTAATTGGTCAAAATAATGTGAAAATAATGTGAGAAGATTAGAAAGGATTGTTTGGGCTATCTTATATATATATCCACTGTGACTTTTTCAGCCTAAAAGTTTCATGTTAGTATCAGTTTCAGCTGGTGGTGTGCCATCTGAGTGTTTTCAACCAAAAAGTTGTTAAGTATATTTATAAACCGAGAAACACAAACGGTTTCAAGATGGAATTCTGAATGTCACAAATGCAATGTTTAGTTCCGCGTCTAACCAGCAGATGGCAGTATACCCTAGTTATAAAACAGTGCGTGGATCTTTCTGTTTTGACTCAAATATTGCAGAAATATGTCATAATATTATGCAAAAGCGGTGATGTTAGAAACCACACAGGACATTCTCCGCTTCCTCTGCTGCTCATGAAAACACTGAATACTCATACTGTATGTCTCATGTTAGTCTAGATTCTGGATTTGTAAGTACGCTACATATACATATTTTACATCAATAGAAGGCAGTTAAATGCATAGATGTAACAGAAACGGTACGAGAAGCTCTAAGCTGGGTTAAAATTGAATGTTTGCAGGTCTTACTTAAATCTTAGTAGTTGGTGCCTCACTCTGACCTTATCCACAAATACATTTACGCTTTACGCAAACTTTAACCACAATCGCGCACAGTTTTTGTTCTACAGCCCGAGTCCTAGGTCTGGGTCAGTAGTGGATCCCGAGTTTCTCAATTCTTTTTGTTTTTGTTTGAGTGGTTAATGTTAGGAGTGAGGGAAGAATGGAGCGTGAGATTGACAGTTGGATCGGTGCAGCGTGCGCAGTGATGCGGTCGCTGTATCGGACCGTTGTGGTAAAGAGGGAGCTGAGCCGAAAGGCAAAGCTCTCGATTTACCGGTCAATCTTTGTTTTTAACATCTATGGTGATCATCCTGCCCCCAAAGGACCAATGACTCCTCTCTGTTTGTTATTCTAGTTCCTTTCCAACGGTTTGATTCTCTGATCGTATTGTTGCGGAATCCATAACTTTGCTAAGTCCTTTGAGACGACTGCTGTTGTGATTTCGGGCTGTACACTTATACATTGAATTCAATTCAATTCTTCACAAATATCACCAAAAATGTCCAATATTTCCCTCTGCGGGAGACGAAACACCAAGATTCTAGTCAGACCTGTGTCGGTAATGAATGTACTTCCAGCCAGTTCTCAATCGATAAACTGTATGTGTCTGGTCTCTCAGAGAGGGCTCAGTGTTTGTTTACCACAGACAATGCTAACATAGACTGTATACAGATGGACCATGCTAACATAGACTGTATACAGATGGACCATGCTAACATAGACTGTATACAGATGGACCATGCTAACATAGACTGTATACAGATGGACCATGCTAACATAGACTGTATACAGATGGACCATGCTAACATAGACTGTATACAGATGGACCATGCTAACATACTGTAGACCAGCCATTCCCAAACTCAGTAACACCGAGGCCCCCTTAAAAATCTGACGGGTCTGCGTGGCCCCCCAAAATAATAACCAAGAAGACAACATTAAGAATAGGCTCTTCTGGTTATTTTATTTTGGGGAAATAGCCTCTGCTACAAACATTGTAATACAAAAATTATTACTGTGGATTATTCAAGTCAAATAATGAACACAAATATTTTAATATTACAAACAAAACATTATAAATTTAACATTAAATAATTTTTTATGACCTCCCGCGGCCCCCCTGCAGTACCCTCGCGGCCCACCAGGGGGCCGCGGACCCCACTTTGGGAGACACTGCTGTAGACTGTATATAGATTACAACAGGCACTTTCGGCGGCCTGCAAAACCCAGACTCCGCTCTCCACGGTTCTCAACAAAAAACATGGATACGGCAAGCTAAAAAGTCAGCGTAAACTTACCTCATGTCTGTCTCCCTTTTAAATCATTAAAAATCCTTTAGAAACCCTTAAGATGAACGCTTTGAGGGCTTTTAGGCACGAGACTAAAATAGGGGCTAATAACCTCAGAATTACTCTGTTTTTTTCCATAATGGATTTAATGGTGCTTCCCCTGGTCCACTCTCCGCTGTACATACACACAGGCTGATTACCATAAACGTTGCCTGGCTTGGATTGCTTGTATCTCGGGGGTTCATTAAAAATCAAGGAAGTGGCACCCACGTCGGTTAATGATATCCACAGCGTCTCGGGGGTTGCCAGATAACGGGGGACGGCTTTGAAGCGTGCTGCGCGGGAAAAAATACAATGGAATGATGCAATTTTTTTTTTTCTCGTATGGAACAATGTGGCAACAAAAACATGGATTTCGTCAGGATTCTTTTGTGAATATTTAGGGCACGTGGGGAATAATGGAGGAGATAAATCTGTCTCATGTGTGAGATTTTAAAGGAGTCCAGACCTGTACACACAAGTCTCTCTCTCTCTCTCTCGGATCTCTCTCACTTGTTTCTCTCTCTGGTCCCTCTCTCGTCTCTCTCTCTCGTCTCCTGGTCTCTCTCCATGGTCTCTATTTCTCTGGCCTCTCTTTCTGCATGGTCTCTCGCTCTGTTCTTTCAATCTTCTCTCTCGTCTCCCTCTCTGGGGCTGTTTCTTGTCTCCTGGTTTGTCTCTCTGGTCTTTCTCCTGGTCTCACTCTCTCTTGTCTCTCTCTCTCTCTTTTGTCTCTGGCCCTGGTCTCTCTTTGGTCTCTTTCTGGTCTCTCTCTCTCTCTTTTTTTTCTATGTTCTCTTACATCTTTTCTTACATCTCTCTCTGGTCTCTCTCTGGTTTCTCTCTGTCTCTGTCTGGTCTTTCTCTCTCTGTTTTTTCTTTGTCTCTGTCTGGTCTCTCTCTCTCTCACTCACACTCTCTCTCTCTCTCTTTTTTGTCTCGGTACCTGGTCTCTCTTTGGTCTCTAGCTGCTCTCTCTCTCTCTTTTTTTTCTCTCTTCTCTCTTAGGTCTCTGGTTTTTCTCAAGTCTCTCTCTCCCTCTGGTCTCTCGCTCTCTCTCTGGTGTTTCTCAGGTGTCTCTTTCTCTAGTTTCTCTCTGTCTCTGTCTGCTCTCTCTCTCTCTTTCTCTCTCTCTGGTTTTTTTCAGGTTTCTCTCACTTTGAACACATTCTCTTTTTCAGATGTGGTCAACCTGAACCTCAAGTCCACTCTGCGCGTCCTCTACAACCTTTTCACCAACTACAAAAACTCGGACTGAGCCCTGCCCCCGTCCTGGACCCGCCGCTTGAGAAACCCTGCTTCTCTGACCTGTCTGCTGGAAGCCTGGACACTGGGACTTGTGTATGATTTTAAACGACCCGCGGGAAATGACTCAGGAAATAGGTCCGTGACGCCGTTTTCCTCTCCCCTAAATGTCAGGATTTATTTATTCCTCCTCGGCAACCTTTCAGAGACATTTTGAAAACGCAAAGGAGAAGCTTGAGCAAATGCACAGGACTGGAAACCGAACAAAGAGAAGTGGACTGTCGCTGTAGACGTTTATTTGGTAGATTTTTGTTTTTTTAAAAGTAATATGTTTGAGACGAACGATGATGGTGTAAAAGAGCAGAATTATCCTCTTTCCCTTCGCATTTCCTGGTCTCTTGCTGGTCTTTCTCTCTCTCTCGTCTCCTAGTCTCTCTCTGGTCTCCTGTTCTCTCTCAGGTCTCTCTGTCTGTCTGTCTCTCTCTCTGGTCTTTCTCAGGTTTCTCTTTGTCTCTGTCGGGTCTTTCTCTCGCTCTCTCTCTTGTCTCTGGTCCCTGGTCTCTCTTTGGTCTCTTGCTGGTCTCTCTTTTTTTTTCCCTCTGTTCTCGCTCAGGTCTCTCTCTCTCCCTGGTCTCTGTCTCTCTCTCTCTATTCTCGCTCAGGTCTCTCTCTCTCTGGTCTCTGTCTCTCTCTCTCTGATTTCTGTCTCTCTCTCTCTGTTCTCTCTCAGGTCTCTCTCTCTCTGGTCTCTGTCTCTCTCTCTCTGGTCTCTGTCTCTCTCTCTCTGTTCTCTCTCAGGTCTCTCTCTCTGGTCTCTGTCTCTCTCTCTCTGGTCTCTGTCTCTCTCGCTCTGTTCTCTCTCATGTCTCTCTCTCTCTGGTCCCTGTCTCTCGCTCTGTTCTCTCTCACGTCTCTCTCTCTCTTGTCTTTGTCTCTCTCTCTGGTCTCTGTCTCCCTGTTCTCTCTCAGGTCTCTCTCAGGTCTCTCTCTCTCTGGTCTCTCTCTTTCTCTGTATCAGTAGTGGGTCTGCTCTCCCCAGCGCAAGTTATAACCGCGTTCAGACGGGGTAAAACAGTTGTAAAGTTTGTCTGCGTCCTCTCAGTCCAGACCAGGCTGAACCTTTTGGACCCGACTCCAGCTGTTCTGGAAACACCTGGATCACCTGCTGCACACCAGCTGCACACCTGCTCAGGCCTGGTTTAATACGGGTCACTATTTGGCAGAGATGTTTTCATTAAGCCATTTTTTGTGCTGCTTAACAAGTATGCAATGAAATCACATGACTTATACAGACTAGCATGAACAATGTAATTAGAGAAAGCAAATGAAAACTAAATACGCCTAGTATTTTTATAGTATATTCAACCACTCAAAAAAAAATTCACTCTGCGTGGAGGTAGACAGAGTGAACAAAGTACAGTACTTGTTGGACTATGAAGCGCACCGACCCCTGGTCTCTCTCTTGTCTTTCTCTCTGGTCTCACTCTCCGGTCTCTCTCTCTCTCTCTCTCTCTCTCTCTCTCTTGTCTTTCTCTCTGGTCTCACTCTCCAGTCTCTCTCTCTTGTCTTTCTCTCTGGTCTCACTCTCCAGTCTCTCTCTCTTGTCTTTCTCTCTGGTCTCACTCTCCGGTCTCTCTCTCTCTCTCTCTCTCTCTCTCTCTTGTCTTTCTCTCTGGTCTCACTCTCCGGTCTCACTCTCCAGTCTCTCTCTCTCTCTCTCTTGTCTTTCTCTCTGGTCTCACTCTCCGGTCTCACTCTCCAGTCTCTCTCTCTCTCTCTCTCTCTTGTCTTTCTCTCTGGTCTCACTCTCCAGTCTCTCTCTCTTGTCTTTCTCTCTGGTCTCACTCTCCGGTCTCTCTCTCTCTCTCTCTCTCTCTCTTGTCTTTCTCTCTGGTCTCACTCTCCGGTCTCACTCTCCAGTCTCTCTCTCTCTCTCTCTTGTCTTTCTCTCTGGTCTCACTCTCCGGTCTCACTCTCCAGTCTCTCTCTCTCTCTCTATTGTCTTTCTCTCTGGTCGCACTCTCCGGTCTCACTCTCCAGTCTCACTCTCCAGTCTCACTCTTCTCCAGTCTCTCTCTCTCCGGTCTCACTCTCCAGTCTCTCCTTCTCTCTCTCTCTCTCTCTCTTGTCTTTCTCTCTGGTCTCCTGGCTTCTCTTGGCGATGGGACAAGGGCCTTAAACAACCAAAGTCCAAACAGTTTATAAAAAAACCACAGAAAGAATCACCTTGTTGGTGATTGTAATGTCTTATAAACAGCTAATATCAAAGAAGACCATTATATAACCACTTTCTCACACTAATATGCACCTGTAAGCTTTATATCCCCTTTTCTGGCAGAGTGCAAGTTTAAAACGAAGAGATCCCTTATTCGTCCCACACTGGGGAAAATGTCACCTTTTCAAAATGCATTTATTTTTTATTTTTTGGTCTGACATCATTGTGGTTTCCAGGCAACTAATGGAGACCAAGACCTCGCTGCTGTTGAGACGATGGTATTGTTACGTGTGGAGCCAAACAAACAGAAACCAGGCCGTACGCATAGTTTGCAAACATCGGCCAGAAGATTTTTCAGCTCAAACGTTGTTATGTGCCTTTCTGATGAGAGAGAATTATATACAGTATGACTTTATTCTGCCATTGTAAGCTGCAGATCAGATTGTTGTGTGGAGTCGTGGGTGGGAGACGCAGTTTGGTCTGTGCCTTAATCGTATGCAGTGTTATCTCTGTTTTTATGGTTGTGATGTCACTTGTTTGGCTCGTGCGATGTCGTTTAAGTTTGTGTACAAGCTTTTTGCAGTAACTGATACTAATATATGAATTTGACCACATGTATCTCATTGTGTCTGTGTTATTGAGTGTGTATTGGGGTTGGACTGACCGAGTGTGACATCACCATAGCGTTAGCCAAATGCGGAATAAAGTGATTTGAACATAAGATTGCTGGAGCCAATTTCCTTATATGGGAATTTCTTCCTTTAGCGTCACACCATAACAGGGGGCAGATGTGTTTCAGTGAACCTATCTGGATTTACGAAGACAATATCAAAACATAAACACCAGGATCACAGAGAGCGGAATTTACAGCCCAAAATGGTGAGGGTGACACATACAGTTTCAATGTAAGACAATAGGAGCAAAACTTCGTCCATGAGCACTTCACTATTGGGCTTCGTCGAGCTGGTGCAGGCATTTATTTTGGTCAAGGTATATTTTGTTGTTATTCATTATTATTATTAATGTATTTGACAAAAGATTACATTTAACATCAAGACATATTTTTTGGAAAAAGCAGTGAGAGGGGGCTATGGTCCGGCTCTCTGGTCTCTCTCTGGTCTCGCTCTCTGGTCTCTCTCTCTGGTCCGGCTCTCTGGTCTCTCTCTGGTCTCGCTCTGGTCTCGCTCTCTGGTCTCTCTCTCTGGTCCGGCTCTCTGGTCTCTCTCTGGTCTCGCTCTCTGGTCTTGCTCTCCGGTCTTGCTCTCTCTCTCTGGTCTCTCTCTCTAGTCACTCTTTCTGGTCTGGTTCTCCGGTCTAGCTCTCTGGTCTCGCTCTCTGGTCTCGCTCTCTGGTCTCGCTCTCTGGTCTCGCTCTCTGGTCTCGCTCTCTGGTCTCGCTCTCTGGTCTCGCTCTCTGGTCTCGCTCTCTCTCTCTGGTCTCCCTCTGTGGTCTCTCTCTCTGGTCTCTCTCCGGTCTCTCTCTCTGGTCTCTCTCTCTGGTCCGGCTCTCTGGTCTCTTTCTGGTCTCGCTCTCTGGTCTTGCTCTCCGGTCTTGCTCTCTCTCTCTGGTCTCTCTCTCCAGTCTCTCTTTCTGGTCTGGTTCTCCGGTCTAGCTCTCCGCTCTAGCTCTCTGGTCTCTCTCTCTGGTCTTGACAAGCAACCATCTCCGGAGGCCAAGCCGTGAACAGTCATTCAGGACTTGTGGCCTTGTATGTTGTATAACTTGTATGTATTTGTCGGTCAAAAATACTTCAGACACAAGTTTATTGAAGCCAATAGACAACAAATGATAATAAGAAGGGAGAAGATTTATGGATCAAAACTGTTCTTCCCATAGATTCTTCCGTCTGAGTTGATCACAGCATCAAATTCTCCAACGCAAACTAAAAGCCTTATAACACATTTCCTTAAGAGCCTTTCACACGTGTCCTCCTGAGGCTGGATCCCTCAGAGTTGTGCGCTAAGAGTGACTTGGCCCCTGGTCCCGGGTGAGGATCCAGGCCCAGACCCGGACCTCTCAGTGCTTCTGAAGTGGTCTGGAACCGTCACTGCATCTCCAGGACCTGCAAACATGAAGAGGCCTCACCGTGGATTACTCTCTGAATTATTAACACAGGCTGCAGACCGAGTTCACCCTGTCTGCCCTGTGAGTGTGTGTGTGTGTGTGTGCGTGTGTGTGTGTGTGTGTGTGTGCGTGTGTGCTTTAAAGCCAAGAATAAATAAGTGGGAAATCAAACAGAATCATTTTTGATATAGTGAGTGATTGACACTTGAAGGAAGAGAGATGAAGTTGGAAAATATTAAGTTTTACAGAGTTGTCCGAGGGTCCATCTTTGGGAGGTCTCTCTAGATCTGGGATGTCAAAGTCAAATACATCAGAGGCCAAAACAAATTCTCTACAAGCCGGACTGGTTCAATGTTTATTAAAACATATTAAAAATGAGTGCACATAACCTGTTGAACCAAGACCTAACACAGTGGACCGTATTTTATTTAATGATTTAATGAATTTTCCAATATTTTCTTATGGTGACAGTAATCAAATATCATCCCCAAGGCCAAAATAATTCATTCTCGGGCTGGATCTGGCCCCCGGGCCTTGACTTTGACACCCATGATCTGGACGCACTACAGTACTTTTGACAACAATTTGAACACAGAAAATGCAATAATAACTAACACAAAGGAGCCATTGATGCTCTCTCTTGGTCTCTCTCTCTGGTCTCTCTTTGGTCTCTCTCTGGTCTCTCTTTGGTCTCTCTCTAGTCTCTCTCTTTGGTCTCTCTTGTTGGTCTCTCT